ATGAAATCTCAAAACTGCCCGTTTTTGTCGTCGTAATTTATTTATGATTTCTAATTAAATTTATTGATACGATTCAGTTATGGCTGCTGCGCCGTGTCAGCGTCGTACCGTTAGTCAATTAAGTAATCTTACGGAAACGTTGTTTCGTCTAAAAGTATTTTTATGGAAGTTCAACGAGTTATTTCCTCCGTATTCGAATATTACCCGGAAATAACCAATACTTGTCGATAATAACAGACTTCCCCAAAAGGCTGAAGTTCTATAGTCTATTTCGCAAATGTGTAGAGTAATAAAACCTCATTAGTTGTATAAAAGGAGACATTGTACAAAAAATAGAAATGCAAAAATTATATTATAAAAAAGTCGTAATGTTCTTTGTCGGCAGTTTGATCGATTAAGCTATTACTTAATCAATCGGAAGGATAAGTTCCTCTTTAGTCTATGCAATCTAATAATAATTTATATGATCAGGTTCATATTGAGGTTCCACAAGGTTCCGTATTAGGACCCTTACTCTTTCTCGTTTATGCGTGCGATATTTTTAAGTCACTGCTATACTCAATTTTATCTATTTTGATACGGAAGATTTCTTGCAAGCTATTAGATTTATAAATGATCACTTACCAATATTAAGTATTTTTTTTAAAAAACACACTTGAAATTTAATCCTAAGACCAGAAATAATGTCGATGTTCTTAAATGAAATGTTGAAATCAACCAATCAATCAATAAAATTGGTTTAGTTGATAACAGAAAAACAATTGGAATTGTAATCGATAGGTTTAAGCAACACGTAAAATTTTTAGCTAGATTGTTGTTTTTGAATTGTTATTTTTTTTGAGTAATTGTAAATTATTTTCCCTTTTCCCTTATTTTTTCATTTCATCATTTTTCGATTCTACTATGGACGATTCCTAGTCTGTTCCCTTTTCCTGAAGACATCTTAATATCCGTTCACAGACCTTCTATGGCGAGCACTGGTTATATTTTGGTATTGACACTTTTTTCGGTACTACATAAGTCTCATAATCCACGTCTCTCCTTTATACGTTTTAAGTATTTTCATCGTTTCATCATTCGCAGACAATTTCGTAGCTTTCCAGTAAAAGTGTTTTGATAGTTATGCTTTTGTAAGGCAAAAATCCACACTGTTAATGTAGTCCATAGAAGGAATGGAATAAATTAATAACTAAGAGATCCTACTTGCTAATTTTGGAGAGAAACAAAAAAGAAAATTCATTGAGTTAAAATTGACGCAGAAACAAAACGCTCTGGTAAGGTGCGTCCAGACTACTTGTACTCGTGCTCGTGCTCGCGGTACTCGCAATGACGTAAATACTTGTCAAACTTTAGGTTGTACTCGCCTGGTTTGTGTCTAGACGGACTTCAGTTGCTCGCGGGACTATGACTTGAAAGGATCCGTAGAATAGGTGCGCGATTTTTTAAATGGATCGTGACAAAGTTATAGTCGCCGGTGAAAGTTACCTATTGATACATTTATTATCGAAAAAACGGAAGCCCAAGAAAAGTCCTCGAAAACGAAGAGGGTGGATATCATCGATTTTCCGAAATCGCGAAGTCTACAGTGGAACAAATCTTTTGAGGGACCTAAGAGTCGATAACCAACCTACATTTCAAGACGTTTTGCCGTATGTCTCTATCGGATTTCGACACCATACTGAATTTGGCGGGACCAACCACTCCATCGTCGAAGATCACGAGCAATCAACTAAAGTAAACCACTCTCGGTCCAGATGGCTTGCTCAACTTGTCGCAAGTCCCTTTGATGTACCGACACCAGGCGAATCCTCTCGAGTTCATGGCTTGAGGTGCTCGCGTGGCTTGTCTTGTGACTTGCCATCACGTCTTCACTGCTCGGGAGTCCCGCAAGTACCGCGAGCACGAGCACTAGTACAAGTAGTCTGGACGCACCTTAAGTAGACGAACTGAGTCAACGCCAGACATTAACCTAATTAAATTACTGGTAACGTAGGAATACGTTGCTGAGGTTGCCAAAAAAAAGTTAAATACTAAATATTAAACTACTGATGCTTCTTAGAGGAAGCTCAATATCGCATTATTTAAGTTCCCCAGGCGAAAAAAATTGAACTTTGACAATTTTCCTCGCAGCACTTTAGGCCACACATTTGTAGCAACTTTTTACCCTAAAAATAATTAGTAAATCAAATAGACAATCAAATATGTAATCTAATACAAAAATTCAATGTAATGAAATTTATTTTAATAATTCAATATTTTTGGATGTGAGTAATGAGCACGAAATTTTGAATATAAAATTAGTTTTTTCAAAAAAGTTGTTACCTGGTTATCATCAGATCAAGATTTACTTAATATTAAGGATGATCTTGTACTTATTTTGACTAAGCTAGTCAAGGGGTCCTGGTTCTATTTGTGTTTGCTAAGACTGAGATTAAGGAAAGATTGTCTTTCATTAGTAAGCACATAGATCGCGGGAACTTAGTAATAGCAGTTCTTATAAATCTTTAAAAATTTTTTGGTGAGCTTAGTATTGATGTTTTAATAAAAAATATATTTTATGTGGCGTTATACAGGCGCCATGTAAAACATTATACAATCTTATTTGTCTCGTAGACTGCAGTATATCATAGATGTTACAAAATATAAGCTGTACGGAGGGTTTTAAAGTTTATAATTATAAAATTAATATATACAATTCGTTCTTTTTAACGCACTTTAGGTATTTGATTCCTGTCTAGGGCCCCTGTGTGTAATGTACAAAAAAAAACAATATAAATAGTAACAACTTAGGTAAAAAGGTTTTAAAATAAAATTAAAAAGAAGCAGCCACTTCTTTTAATTTCGTATTGAATGGTCGAAGACCGCTGGCTAGGGGATCAACACTTGTTAAATTTGAGGAGTTTTGACATCATTTGTGATAGATGTTAAAACCAACGGACTTGGTGGAGCTTTTATAAAACGTCAAGATATCGGAATAGGTTCTTCTAATTTTGAGACTATCATAAAAGGCTCACATACCAAATCATGAGTTTAGGGGTCTGGAAGCTGAATAAAACTAGAAGTGTTTGGAACAATGTAAACTTATGTAAAGAATTTTGAATGACACTCAAAAGCAGATGTAAAAATAATCTACATTCACATCAGGACACAAGATTATATACATCACAAAAATTATAAGTGACAAACTCTATTTATCAGGCTTCTAATACATATATAAGCAATTTTCTGATGATGTCAAAAGTATTAGAAACTACGAAAGATTTGTATTGCGACTAAAATCATGTGTAAACTTGTCTTAAGTCTTACGCCTTAAGTGTTAAGAGCCGTTGGTGTGTTTGTTATGTCTTTGATGCCAGTGATCCTAAGTACTGTCCGGAGGATTTTTTAAAACTGTATAAATATTTTTTTATATTTATTTGTTTAAATTAAATAAATTGTTTAAAAAATATATCACAGGTTTAAATAACAACCTATATATTGGGTTGTTCGAAAAGTCATTTCGTTTTTTTTGGGGAACATGAAAGACAGTTTTCGTATAATGAATAAATATTTTATTAAATTATATATTGGCCATTCTGGTCCAACACCTTTTGCCATCTTTCTGGCAGTAACATAATTCCCCTCTCATAAAAGTTTTGGTCCTTGCTGGCAAAAAACTGGTTCAGGTGGTTTTTGACATCTTCATTTGAGGTAAAGGTTTTGCCATCCAAAAAATTTTGCAGGGACCGGAACAAATAGTAGTCGGAAGGCGCCAGATCTGGAGAATATGGTGGATGTTGCAGTACGTCCCATTCAAGCTGTAAAAGTTTTTGGCGAGTGACCAAACTTGTGTGAGGTCTCGCATTATCCTGGTGGAACACTACACCCTTCCTGTTGATTAATTCGGGCCTCTTCTCTTTAAGTGAATCATTCAATTTGTCCAGTTGATGACAATAGACTTCTGAATTAATCGTTGTATTGTCCGGCAAAAGCTAAAAAAAAAACGATTCCTTTGACATCCCACCAAACGGAGAGCATCACCTTTTTTTGGTGAATGTTGGCTTTTGGCACGCTTTGAGCCGGTTCATCTTTTCCGCTCCATGACCTCTTGCGTTTAACATTGTTGTATACAACCCATTTTTCGTCCCCAGTAATAATCCGCTTCAAAAATGGATCATTTTCTTGACGTTTGAGGAGCCAATCACACACGTCAACGCGACGACACAAATTTCGCTCCGTAAGGACATGGGGCACCCACACATCGAGCTTCGAGGTTAAGCCCATGCCTTTCAAATGGCCATAAACAGTCGAATTCGACAAATTTAATCTCTCACCGATCTCTCGTGTGGTTATTCGCCGATTTGCATCAACTAATGCCTTTATCGCATCTTTGTCAGCTTCGACCGGCCTTCCAGACCGTGGTGCATCTTCGACATCAAAATTGCCGGATCGAAATTTTGCAAACCAGTTCTGGCACTGGCGTACTGTTAACACGCCTTCTCCATACACATCCGTCAATTTTTTTCTCGCTTGGACAGCATTTTTACCTTTTCTGAAGTAAAAAAGTAAAATATGACGAAAATGCTGCTTATTGCTCTCCATATTTAAAAGGGCACCAACCAAAAACTACTGCGTAGAATTAATAGAACTTTTTCACACACAATCCTTGCAATATCAACTCTCAAGACATATAATGGTTATGCGGCTTAAGTGTGAAGTTGGTTTCGAAAAAACGTAATTAAGTCCTCTGACGGGAAAAAACGAAATGACTTTCCGAACAACCTTATAATAACAGATCTTCTTTGGAACTGCGTTCTGGACGGAAAACTGGCATCACCGTATAATTAGATGTTTACAAACAATACGATCTCCGTTTGCTCGCCATAAACATTACATGCGTCTCCCTGGGTTAAATGTCTATGATCTTAATGACCTCTGGCCCCCCTGACCATGGTGGATGCGCCGACGTGTGTAATTATCGCTAGAACGCGAATTTTCTAACAATTGTTTTTCTGTTGCAGCACAAATCGAGATCATCCCGTGTAAAGTATGTGGAGACAAAAGCAGTGGTGTACATTATGGGGTTATTACATGCGAAGGGTGCAAGGGCTTCTTCAGGAGGTCACAAAGTTCGGTAGTGAACTATCAGTGTCCGCGGAACAAAAACTGTGTAGTCGACAGAGTCAACCGCAACAGATGCCAGTACTGCCGTTTACAAAAATGTCTACGGTTAGGCATGAGTCGCGATGGTAAGTGTTTTTTTTTTTTAATTGTGTAGTGGCCAGGTATCCTTGAAATACCCAGAAGTGCATTGCAATTCCATAGAATTGCCCAAAGTACCTTGAAATTGCTTTTGGGATAGGTTTTTCCTGCATTTTTCCATAGATTTCTCAAATTTGAACTCTGGCGTGGATAAATGCTTCCCCAAATGACCTTGTCAAAGTAAGACACGTAATAAACTTGCTTTCGCGAAAAATATGTAACAAACATGAAAAATATGTTTTTAAATACGTTTCGTGTTCGTGTTGTTACGAAATTTGTTTATTACTTATCTTTGGTTAGTGTTGATGAGTGTAAAAAAATCTTTTTAAAACACTTTTGTTATAACACTTACGTTAAAACAAAATAGAATAGCGTTTTTAAGCAAGAACAATTTAAATTTTGTCACTACAAGATAAGATATTGACATACATAATTATATAAATTAAAGTATAACTTTACCTGCTTTCCTGCTTATATATCGCAAATATCTATCTGGAATATATTTTTTTTGCAACGATCAAAATCGATCTGTCAAAGACAAAATTCCGTTTAAGGTCCCAGCAGTCCGTGCGTATGCGGCAAAGAACACATTGTAGAGACAAGACGAGAAATATCAACAACGCTAAAAGAACATAAAAGAATCTTAAGACTATGACAAATAAACTCGTCAGCAGTTGCCGAACATGAAATCTTATTCGATAAAACTAAAATTTATAGAAATCTAACGGCAACGAAACAATCTCAACCCAGGTTACCTTTCACCAATATGGGAATCAGGCATCCGAGATGATGTTCCCTTTAGCTCCAAATTCATGGTCCACCGTATATAACACGAAATTCCTAGAATTTTTACGTATATTAATTAATTAAACAGCAGCTTAATTATATGCGGAAAACACTATCAATTTAACCACTTCACAAAAAAAAGTGTGACTGAAACCTAATTCTGTCAATGCTCTTCATTAATTATTATTATTATTATTATGCACTTTCGAATATTGAAAATGAAAAGAACACCTAGAAGTTGTAGTTACTTTTATTTTCTATAATTTTTGTTAATAGTATATTTCTTATTATTACTTAAAAAACTAGATGTTGTAAGTAAATTCTGTCTTCATTTGTACTTTTTCTAGCATATAAAATCCTTTGTATCTCATTACATATTTTCGTTTGCGATGAGATTCTCTAAATTCTCAAAAATTCTTTCGAAATACTTTAAAATTCTTCAGAATACCACAAAATATGCTAAAGTACTTTAAAATTCACTGAAATTCCTTGTACACTAAAATGGCAAGGTGATTTGCTCCTTGGGGAAAGTTATAGCGTTAAAACTAAGTTAAGGGCGTTAATAAGTAGTCCTGGGCTAGTTCTAGTTTTATTACTTTTTGAAATTCTACAGGTGAAGCGATAGCAAGAATCTTTAATCTTCTGCAATCCACAGTATTACCTATGCAATAAAGCATTTAAAATAGGTGACAACAGGTTATCCCAAGGTTTAAACGCCATTTAAGTGCTATAATCAATATATTACATTTCATAATAATTAAAACAAGATATTACCTTCATTTTAAAAATCTAAAGTAATTCCTCTAACAAGGTATAATTTAACATTAATTTCACCTCCAATTAGTCTGATAACAATAAAAACCGAGTTAATTTGAGAACGTTTCCACTTAAAATTTTATACTTGCTTAAACATAGTTACGAAACTGTAAAGTTTATAATGATTTTCAATGCTCGCGGTTTAGCGTTCGGGTTCGACGATTGAGACAACGTTTGACATTATCAGTTGAAACGGGGCGAGTTAATTGTCAAACAATTAACTCAACACTTGGTTCTTCGATTTTCTACTACTGTATACCTTATACGGCTAATTGCCAGGTATCAGCGGAACCTAGCCGATTTGCACTTTCCTCGACTAAGAAATGTTATGCGCAAATGTTCAAATTGAAAAAAAAAATTCAAATTATTGTATTGTATTGGGCGTAAATGATAGAAATAGGGAAAAAACGAAAGATTATAACCTACAAATTTGTATTTTTTTTTCTTTTGTGCTCGTTCGCGATATTTTTTACTACTAGCCAAGAATTTCAATAATAACGCAGTGCCTTAACTGTACTGGCATGGTGTCATCAATGACGATTTTGAAGAGGCTGTGGAGGAAATTGAGAATTTATGGATTCCTTTCAGGTTTCTAGCAGAATATTTATTCGTCTAATTCAACAACCAGTCTGTACTATATATGTTGGAATGAAATGTGATAGTATCACTAGTTATTCTCCGTTGTAATTCTATTGAAAAGGATAGGTTATAACCATATACTTTTTTTGGTCAGAAAATATTATAGAGTTCAACGACTATTGGGAAATTTGGCAACATACAATTCTTTCGTCGTCTTTCATTTCTCTTCTCCGATTTGAAAGTATTCGAATTTGTTGTTTCCAGAGAAATTTTTAGGGAACGGAAATCATAAAAATAAACAAAAAAAGAATGGCTAGCTATATAGAAGTGTCAACTCTTGTTTAGAAATCTGGACCTTAAAGAACAGCCCCCAATATTTTGCCCGTAATGAAAATGTTACGATTTCAAGAAGAAGAGTCAGTATCAACGTAAACCTTTAGCAAAGTGTTTAAGATTTAAGAAAAAAACTTCTTTATCATAATTTTCTTAAAAAAATTGACGAAATTTTGTACACACTAGATTTTAACTAGAATTTTTGGATGATAAGTATTTTTTAAAATGTTTTTCCCTGCGAGATTTAAACTGCATATTTTTGAAGAAAAAAATAAGCCTCTTCTAAAAATTAAAATTATGTTTGGGATCCGCCAATTCGGCCAGTTGGTCTTATTTATTTATTTGGCGGTCATTAGACTATCCCAAACCGGGTCGACAGCATTACATAATAATGTACATTAGAAGATTTTGTATAGCAATCACAAAACAAATAGCATGATCTAAATGTTAACAGATTATCACGAAGGTTTTATATTACAGTACATACAACATACATACATACATACATACATACATACACACATACATGCATACATACCATACACAGGTTTTTGCAGGTATTTTGAAGTGTTGAGAAAAAGTCTATGGTCTTATGCATCACATATCCAGATTTTACTATTCTTCAGAGTTGAAAATTTTGCGTAAAATTTGTTTTTCTAGAGGAAAAATGGAGGAACAAATATAGCGGCAATTTATAATTTTATAAACAAACAGTATATCGATCAGTTAACGGGATAATCCTGCTTCTGGATTATGAAATATTCCTTAAGTGAAATAATTTTAGTTGTTAATTTTGAACCCTGTCCCAACGGTCTCTTTTGAAACTCTGTACTGCGGACTTCACATATGAAACCTTGCCAAGGACAAACGCATTAAGTTAGCAAACAATTTGGAATCTCTGGACATTTTGTAGCGACAAAACCAATTAACCTAACCATTTTTGTGTAATACACGTCTTTTGTGTAAAAAAATAAAATCCGCCGATATTTTGTTTTTTGATTTGGAGCAAAAATTAATAAATTGAAGTTTTACCCTTAAGTATGACCTTCAGTTAATAAACACCCTGTATTTGGTCCTCGATTCATTTTGCCTGACTTTGAAGTATTGTGTCGACAAAGACCAAACTAAATCATATTTCACAATATTTTTTGCGAAGTACGGAAATACTGGTGTCACAGTTGGGGTATCATAACCCACATTCTGGTTTTCGATCATAAACGAACCAGATGAAACCAGTTCTAACTGCTTTTTTTTTTAAATCAAAAACTACAATGTGTAGCATTTAAGGTGAAAATACCCCCAATATTTTTTGGCATTTAAGTAAATGCGGATTTTAAGTTTTGCACAGTCATACCGTCATTTTTTAAACTACTCCGTTGTGTGTTACTGTTATTTATTTTATTGAAGAATTTAAATAACATGAATTGTACTACTAAATTGACGATATTTTTACATTGCAGACATTTTTCTTTTCATGGAACAGTCATTTGTCAGATAAAAAAAATCAACTCTTAGTCATTTTGTATGCTGATCAAATTGATTAAAAAACTAAAAATGCTAATTTTGTCAAGATCTGTGAGGTTAAAATAACATCCGGTTCTTGGTGGCTTTTCTCTCCTTCTTCTACCTTTAGGAGTCCATTTCAATCATTTTCTAGGCTACAAAAAACTTGATTCAGAAATAAGATGGATATAAGCATAACAGTGTGAATACAATAATGGACAAAAATGGAAGCTTAATCGTAGCAATAGAGGAAAAACTAAATTATATTGAAGAGCTATTTGAAGATCATGGCGTACAAGAAAACATAACTGGACCACCAATTACCAAAGACGAAATAGAGGGAGCCAATAAATTAGCAAATTTGCAAAAAACCAGAGCGCAACGGGACCAGATGAGATCCCAACTGGCCTGGTTGAAGTCGACGTTTATCTCGATTCCTAAATCAGCAAAGGCTAGACATTGCAATGAACACCTCACCATAAGTCTGATGAGTCATGTCTCAAAATTGTTTCCAAAAATAATACAGAATTTTCCCCAAAATTGAAGAACACAGATTCTCATACTTCCGCCATGTTATGAGACATCTTGAGACATACAATATCCAGCATTTGATCATTCAGAGCAAGATAGAGGGAAGACGAGGCCCAGGAAGAGGAAGAACATCTTGGCATGGCACATCAAGAAGAAGATGATCGTGCTATGTCGTTAATGATCACTATGTACGAAAATGGAATTCTCTATAATTGTAGACCCCACACTGAAAGAATTGTCAGTCAATATCTGGATGAGATAGAGAATGTAGAAAAGGAAGCTGGGCTAACAAACAGCCGGAACTTTTTCAATCAAGTGAAAAGTATAAGGAAAGGTTACACACCAAAGACCAACATTTTAAGAAATGAAAACAACGAGCTCATAACGGATATAAAAGAAGTAATGCAAGCATGGAAACAATTCTTTGAAAACCTGTTAA